ATGAAATATCGTCAATGTAATTAATTTTAGTAATATTACATAATAATATGTCATTACATTATAATAATATTATACTATAATAGTAAAATATAATATCATTATTTTTTATTATAATACTATGTTTTTAAATAAATTTACAATATTTATTCACATTATGATATTATCTTAATACTAACAAAATGATATTATATTACTTTTTTTCTTTTTTTATTAAAATATTTTATATTTTTTATTAATATTATGATAAAATAATGTTGTATTATTATATAATATTGTTGTGTACTATTTCTATCCCTCAAATTACTTATTATTATAATGGTGATCATTTAAATATATTTTTATTATCACAAAATTATTTTCTCAATAGATTAATATAATATTATAATATTGTGCATCTTATTATAATATTGTATTAATAGCAATAAATGAGTATATATTACTATATAACTATTGTACTTTGATCATAAATACATTTATAGGACTGGGATATCAAAAGTGAAAGAAGCATTGAAGAGGATAAAGATTAATATCAGATCATATCCCGATAGAGGTATGAAAGTGCATGGGGGAGATTGTCATTTACTAGCTGATCAAGCTATTCAACAAGGTATTGAGAACAAAAAAAATGCCAGATGAATGGAGGAAAAGTACTGTTGTATCTATTTACATGAATAGATAAGACATACAAAATTGTGCAAACTACCAACGGATCAAAATTATGAGCCACATTGTGAAGCAGAAGGCGAGAAAGTGATTGACCAATGACTATGACATGAAACAAGTGAATTAGAAAACCAATTTGGTTTTATGCCCGGCTATAGAAAAATCAACATTTTTAAAAAAAAAGTTACAAAGACAAGTTAAAAAAAATTTAAAGTTAACATTATCATGAGGAAAATCCAACTTACTATGTTATCCCAAAGAGTCTCGTGTAACAAAAAGTTAAGAAGAGAAATCAAAGAAATTTAAAAGTTTACATTATCACGAGGAAAATCCAACTTCCTATGTTATCCCAATGAGTCTAGCTTCAACTCGATACAGTGAGTTTTTCGATTTTTTTTTTTTTTTTTTTGAGAAATCAGCATAAAAATATATACTTCCCCCTTCATCCAACTGTCCAATTTAGATCAAATGAGCCACTAACCATTTAGTCTAGATCCGACACATTAGAGTATTTTATTTTAAATTTTTAGATCAAGTGAGCCGCTAACCATTTAATCTATAGATCGATGCATCATAGTATTTTATTTTTAATTTTTTTAATCTAGATCTGTTGCATCATAGTATTTTATTTTTAATCTTTTTTTCTAGTATATATATGAAATATAAAATTTGGTACCTTCCATCACCTCAATGGGGTGCACCTAAATAAAATATTAAAAAATATTTTTGATAAAATACAATGACCAAAATACGACTAAACTTTCAGGGAAGTTTAGTTAATTTGTTTTATTGGGAATATTTTGCATGTTTTTTTATAGGTGTGAGTTCTAGAGAGGATTGGATGACCAAATTTTGGTGTGAATGTTTTTTATAAAAAATATTAAAAATAAAGTAGTATAGAGGGTGACATTGTGAACGGGGTCATCTAAGCCGTCCATTTAGAATTGAAGGTTGGATAGGGGAAGTATAGAAGTTTTATGCTGTAAGAGAAGCATAGAAAGCTTGCCCTTTTTTAATACGTACAAAAGTGAAGTTATTTAGATTGCTTGGTTAGCAACATAATTAGCAAGTCGGCTTTAAAACGCAACTTTTTAAAAACATGCAGCTTCTGTGACTTTTTGAAAAGATCGGCAAAAATAAGCATTTTTTTCACATAAACGTTTAAAACGCTCCTTATTGATCTTTATGAAAAATCTGCCCAAAAACCTTCGTGTTTTTTGCGTGTATTTTTTTTTCCCTAAAGGATGAAATTTTTTTTCCTATTTTATGTCTTTTTTATTTCCATGCTTTCCGGAAAGTATATTATTTCCAAAAAAAAACTTCCCAAAAAAATAAATTTTTATTCCCAAGTATATTGTTAAGGTTTATTATCTTAGGGTTTATGCTCAAATCCAATGATTCAAATTAGAATAAAATACCACAAAAACCCTTGAATAAAACATCTCCAAATTTCGACTTGGCAAAATTCCACCAAAAAATGCATCCAAATTAGGGCTCAAAGACCTATTTTATCACAATTTATACAACATCTTAAATCCCTAAAAAAAAAAAACAGACTAGAACTCAATCCCCAAACTTAATTCATGACTGAAAATCTTGGATTAGTAAAATCCCTAAAACAAAAAATTTAAAAATAATAATAATAAATAAATAAATAAATAAAAACCAGATTAGAGCCTCAATCCCCAAATTTAATTCATGACTGGAAATCTTGGATTAGTAAATCCCTAAAACAAAAGGCTAATAAAAAAAAAAAAAAGAACAACAACAACAAATTAGGGATCAATCCCCAAACCTAATTCATGACTGGAAATCTTGGATTAGGGTTTATGTCCATCTTGTTCTTCATCTTCTCTAAGATTTTATGTCCATTTTGTTTTTCTGCCTATGCATGCTCTCTTACTCTGCGTTTCTTTATGGAAGATTTTGCATTTGCTCTTCTTCTTCTTGTTCTGTGTTTCTTCTTGGTCTACTGCATTTGTTGCTAGTCTAACAAAAAAGGTGTACATCGCTTAACTATGGTTATAAAGGGACGGTCACCGTAAGGAGAGAAATGAATATACCCAACTCAATTCTACTTATTTCATATTGCCCCCCACTCCCTTTTTCTCTTTTCTTTTTTTTTTCTTTTTGCATTATGTACTAAGTATGTGTGGTGTTTGTTAAAACATTTAATGAGAAAACTTATATCGTATATTTATCAGCAACTTATCATTTTAGTTTTTTTATTTTTACTTAATTTTATTTTAATTTCTACTTAATTTTATTTTAAACATGCCCATTTTTTTTCACTCCAATTTTTTGAGCCTAATCTGATATATTTGCGATATTTTTACATAAAGTATTTTTGCTGATCCGAATTTTTTTCGTGATTTTTTCATCCGAATTTTAAAAAAAAATGATTTATTTTCGATTTTATGATAAACCGATATACTGATCTTCCCCGACTTGCTAACTATGGTCAGCAGAGATGAAGAGGTTGATTAGTAATCCCTCGTATGACGGATCGAATGGTGTTAAAGTAGTGTTTCAACACTATGCAATTTCCAGAAAGAAAAGTTCACATGCGCCTGCTGACCTAGGATGAACGCTATATAAAGTGTACAATCCATAAATAAGGTATGGACAGTGGATACAAAAAAATATCAAAAAATTGTATTTAAAATTTTAAAACTTTATTTTTGTTTTCTTTTTATATTCATGCTCATTTTAGTCTAGATGATGAATCTACAAAAACATTAGATGAATATTCCATCTTTAAAATGGATTTTAGAGCAGGGCTGCATATTTACATGAGTGTGCCCACTCACAAAAACCCATCTTTTCCAAAATCACTGATATGGACGTGAATCAGTAAAACCACTCCCTCATTATTTTTCTCCTTTTTTAAAAATAAATTAAAACCACTTGTCGAAAACTTTTTCAAGTCTCTTAAATCCTACTCCATAAATTCCAATTGTATTTTTCAATTTATACTATCTATTTTTTATAATTTTTAAAGCATGATTTAGATTGATCCAGACCTGATCGATTTAGATTACCAATCTAACGATCCGACACAAACGTGAGTGAACAATCTACCCTACCAATCTAAATTGTAAACATTATTTAAGATATTAATAAGATTGTCAACCTATCTTTTGTATATAGAGATCACAATCATTTCCACTACTTAAATGTCAAATTGAATAGCTTGAGATGAATCATGAAATCTAAGAAATTGTTTTTTTTTTTAACTTTGCATCTATTGAATGATGCTCTTACGATCACCAACTTTGAAATTTAAAAAGACAATAATGATTGTAACGTCCATAAAAAAAAATTAAATAGTCTCTTTATAGACAATCCCTATGTTAATGGGGTACCCTTCTTTTCCTTTTTTTTTTTTTTTTTTTTTTTTTTTTTTCTTGCATAGTTTCTTTTCCATCGAGAGGACTTCTCACAACTGAGAACGAGATTCTGAGTGGAAGTCGATCACCTTAGAACTACACTATAATGCAGTTCCGGCACCTTAAAATCATTAAATTGATCATCTAGCTTATAACAAATATGGATAAATAAATAATAATTTTTAAGCCCTAAAATTAGATTATTTGGACCGTGTTTAAACTTTTGTAAATCTATCAGATCTGTATTACAGAATCAAACGCAAAAAAAAAAAACTTTCTAGGTCATCGTTCCACAGGGAACCGCATCATCTATTTGGATCTTGCAGGGGTTACTTCTTGAAGCAAAGCATAAAGTGACTCCAAAAATTAACCTCCCACACCGTTCAAAAACTCCAAGCTTCTGTTCCTTCACTTTCTTAGAACTAAAAAAATATTTGGGAATAGTACATGTAATTTTAAGTGGATCTCTTCGTAGAGAGAACTAAAAAACAAACACAAAGATCCAGGTAGGAAAAATCTTTGGGAATGGTACTTGTAATTTTATGTTCCAAGATTACTATCTCACGTAGAAGATGGAAAAGTATATAATAAGACCATGTGCCTTTTGGCACACAAGAAGCTCGCAATCAACTTTGGACGGTGACGTGAAAATGGCCACATCAATTATGCCAAAAGTATAAAAGAAAAACATTCGAGCTTTGTGACACACCATAAGCTGTGCAATTTAAAGTGATTGTCGTATTCTTTTACCAAAGCTAAATATTCTTACAAAATGTACACAATCCCAGTTGAACGTGAGAGACAATTACTTAGATTTTAGCAGGATCATAAGGCAGGGAGAGAGAGAGAGAGGGGGCGTTTAACAACCAAAATAAAATAAGGCCTTTTCCCAACCTCTGCAGCGAAAAGTTTTCCGGAGAGAGATTTAGACAGGCCTCTGGTGATACAACAACTTGATACACATACACTAGCAAACCAAACCAACAAATTCATATATGACAGGGAGCAATGGGTTCTATCTTTGAATACCTAACCCATTTCCCTATGGTATACATTATGAATCTTTCTTTGTCCTCATATACTGCAATGCATTGAAAACCACTCGATATATGTAGGTTATAATGGCATCGATGCATGATAAAATAAAATTCCAAAAAGAGGAGGGCCAATAACAGGGATATAATAAGCGGAAAAACAAGCTTATAAGATGGCGAGGATAACGTCCCACCTGCATCACAATTCACAACTATGAAGAAGACAAATGATACTGAATAAATGAATGCTCTCTATACCATTTACTCGAAAACAGAAAAACAATGCTCTATACTAACCAAACTATCGCCTAAAGTGACGCAAAATGCAACTATAACAAATATAACCATCAAGGAAAAAAACTACCAGTTCGAATTTTCCTCATCTAGGTTGTAAAATGAAATAATTGATGAAATGCGTTTTGCAACTAAAGCATTCAGTGTTTATGGAGTTTCTCAAATTGAAAGAATTTGAGTGTTGCAGCCAGTGAAGGTCTTTATGAATCCTCTAAAGAAATGGAAATATGCTACCATATGATCATTCTGATCAACCCCAAGCAGTTTCCGTCAAAATGCCAGAAAACAGTAATTCATCACTTCTATAAGTCATATGGTATATTTACACAAAAAAAGACGCGTGTTGAAACACTCGTGAAGGAAAAAGGCTAAATATCACTTTCCCAAGAAAAACAAGTTTTTTTTTTTTTTTATTATGGTAACTGTATTAAGCTAAGAAGAGAGTACAGAATGTGTGAAACGAGGGGGACAGGATACCAAGAACACGGGTTCCACCCAAACAATAGGCTACCCACAAACAGGTGCTCTATACAAAAACCATGAGGAGGCCAAAAACTGATTTTCATTGTTGAATAGAACCTAAAAGGATATCAATTCCACTCTGCGATAAGGAAACCAAGCAAAAATAGTTCCCTAGGGATGAGTCAGGTTGGCATGAGATAAGGTGGCAGCTGCCTTTGCTATGAAATCAGCCTCACCATTTGCTTCTCTCCAAATGTGGTCCCACAAGATTTGTAGAGTCCTTGTGAGTTGACAAATCTCCTCGAATATACTGTCAAGCCTCCAAGGCCAGGGGGCTGAGCCTGAAGCCAGGCTATTACACTGTAAGAGTCCCCTTCGATAGTCACAGACTGCCCCCAATTAGTGTCAAATATTTTAAGCTCTTCGCGGAGGGCTGAGGCCTCCGCAACTGTTGAATCTGAGACACTTATAGGAATAGAAAAGGAGCAAAGGGTATTGCTGTTGTAGTCGCAAAAAAACCGCCTATGCCTGCAAGGCCGGGATTTCCGAGAGAACACCCATCAAAGTTAAGTTTGATCTAGCCTACTTTGGATGGTCTCCAAAGGGAAAGAGCGAGGGGGCCTCTGAGGTTTGAAGGAAAGATTAGCAGCCCAACAGTGGAGAAAATCAGAGTGACCAAGATTTATGAAGTGCTTGTGGTGGTAGCCCAAAATATGACAGCAGCTTTGATCTTTTCTACTAGAACATCCAAAGCAGATCGTTGGCTTCAAAATATTCTGAGGTTTCTCTCAGTCCAGATTATCCAAAGAGTGGCAGCCACGAATGCCTGCCACAACAGTGTGCCAGGGGGTTGAGAAAGCTGAACTGAGGAGATGAGGGACACCTTGGTGGAGGCTATCTTGCAGTGGATAAATACGTGGCCATTGCTCTCCTCGTCTTCAGTGCACATATTGCATCTGTTTGGGATTTGGAGTCCCTTTCTTTGTAAATGATCGATCCACTGTGAGGGCTCTCTCAAATGCAGCTATCCAATTGAAAAATTAAATTTTGAGGGGACCAGAGGAATCCAAACTCTATTCACAATAGAAGAGGGAGAGTGAGGGGCTTTGGGGATGGGCTAGAGATGAGTAGAAGGCGGTTGTCAAGAAAGATCCTGCGTGGTCAGGGGTCCAAATAAGACCGTCTTGCCCTAGGTGAGGCAGGAAAACAAAGTTAAAGAGTGTTGGAGAGGGTTGTGAAGTCCTGGAGTTCAGGGTCCGAAAGGGGTTTTCTGAGGATGGGACTCCACACCCTCCTATTGCCCATCAGCTGGAACTGTGACACCTCCACAGTTGCAGTAGGGTCACGGGCCAACAAGAATAGGTTAGGATAGAGCTCTTTAAGGGGTGCAGTCTCCAGCCAACTATCAATCCAAAAGAGAGTTTAGTCGCCCTGCCTAGCCCTGTACCTGATCATGGACTGAAAATGTAGGTATGAGCGCAGTATGGCTTTCCAAATCCCAGAGGAGTCTCAAGAGGGACCCAAGAGGGATCGGAACTACGGTATTTAGAGTTGATCACTGCCTGTCATAAGTGGTTGCTTTGGGTAGCTAAACGCCACCACCATTTCCCAAGTAATGCAACGTTATTGTTTTTGAGGTTTTGTATAACCAGCCCCTCTAGAGATTTAGGTTTGCATACATTATGCCAAGAGATGAGATGGATCTTCCTTTCCCACTTACTAAACCACAAAAAGTTTCTCATCAACTGCTCCAAACGGTGAGCCACCATGGCTGGCATATAAAATAGCGACATCTGAAACACAGGGGTCCTCGAAAGGGTGGCTTTTATCGAAGTAAGACGACCGGCCGGGGATAAAAAATCTGCCTTTCCACCTTGCCAATCTTCGGTCGTATTTATCTATGATATGGTTCCAAAGGTTAAGTCTTGGCTTTCCTATGCATAGGAGCAATCCTGGGTAGGAGGAACTGATGCAAATTATTGGTGATTCTTCACAAATCAGCACCTTAATTCGCAAAGAGCTCTATAGATAACAAGCCTTAAAGAGAATAAGAGTTGAGAATGAAGGAAAAATCACAAAACCATGGGGAATCCACCTCCCAAAGTTTATTCACCAAAAGTTCTCTGTAGCAAAATAACAATCTAACTCCCCTACACCCTTCAATAACAAGTACTTAAATAACTCATAACCCTAAAAAGCTCCTACGAAATCCTAGCCATCCATTCTATTTAATCATAGCCACCCATTATTAACTTAAAAATAAATGACTAAACTTGCCCCTAATGAAATAAAAGAATAACAATTGAAATAAAAAATAAAACCCAAATAATTCCCCTAATTACATTATTGCCCATTTCTTTCCCCCTTGTGTCCTATGAACCTTCTTTGCCCAACCACATACTATTGCCTGGGGCATGGTTGCATCACTACCCTAGCTGAAAGGAACTCGACTCTGGCAAGTTGGCTTCAACATAGACGCGGTATAAATCTGGATCTACCCTTTTGAACTCTTACTCAAAATCCACGTGCTATCAGAGTATTGCCCACCCTTCCATTTGACTAGATATTGGTGATAGGAACCCTTTCGAGTTTGAAAGCTCTCCTTTCGCAAATACACCATTACTAAGTCACCCTCCTTGAAAATCTTCTTTTTTATGCTCATTTGAGGCTTTTCGATACTTTGCACTCTTGTCTTCAATTTTCTTCTTAATTTGAGCTTGCAAATCTCTGATATGCTCAACAAAAACATTGCCATCATCACTTATCTTGCTTGGCATGGGTAATGGCACTAGGTCAAGCACATGATTAGAAGTCTGCCCATTAACAATCTCAAATGGTGATTTTCCTGTAGACTACTTTACTGAACTGTTGTAAGCAAACTCAATCTGAGACAAAGCGAAATCCTAGTTAGATATACTCTCAGTTAGATATACTATCACCAACAATAATCCCGTTGTTGCCTTGTCTACGACTGAAGCAGAATACGTGGTTGTTACCGAGGTAGTGAAAAAAGTCATTTGGCTTAGAGGGCTTGTAAGCGATTTGGGACTTACGATAGGATGGGACTATTATTTATTGTGACAGTCAGAGTGCAATACATTTGGTGAAGAACCAGGTATATCATGCAAGGACGAAGCATATTGACGTCACATACCATTTTATTCGTGAGATCATAGCTGAAGGTGATATCTTGTTACTGAAGATTGACATTAAGAAAATGTTGCAGATATGTTAACAAAGCCGGTTCCATTACAGAAGTTCAAGCTATACCTGGACTTGACTAATGTGTTGCTCAAGTGAACGCCTATGGAGGCGTATGTGGAGAAGACGATTGATTGACATCTCTTTTGCATTTCAAGCTAAGGTGGAGATTTATTGATATTTATCTTGAATTCTTGATTCCCTAATTTTAAAGGATTGATTTCCTTTAATTTAGGTTTCCTATTTATTTGGGTAGTGCCTATTATTTAGGATCTAAGTTTGTGGATAAGTGCTACTTAGATTAGGATGGAGCCTTAGGTCCACAAGTAGATAGAGATAAAGTTAAGATTCCTAACTTTATGGGAAAGGATAGAGCCCCACGTACCATCTTTTGGAATTTGCTTTTTCTATATAATGGGTTATGAAGAGAGAGAAAAAGATCCAGAAAAATAGGGGGAAACTTTTGGGGGTTTTTGAAGAGAAAAAATTTTAGAGAAGGTTTTGTGGGAGATTGATTCGCTCTCTCAAGTAAGTTGCCTTGTAATATTCTTTCTTTAATTTAGTGAAAAACATCGATCGTCTTTACCCGTGGATGTAGTCACAAGTGTGACGAACCACATAAATCCTGGTGTTCTTTTTATCTATTATTTATTTCTTGCTCTATCTTTGTTGCTTGTTGCTTGTTTTTGTCGATTCTTTTTCTCGTACTTTATTTTCCAAAAATCAACCCAGCGGGTTTAGAACTTTTGCGCACAACATAAGCAACTTTGGGCCCTCCTCTTTAGTGGATTTGGGTGGAAGAAGTTGCTTCATAGGGTGGAGTATGATATTAATGCCATCCTTGACAAAAGAATAAGTGTTTGGTCTAGTTTTATGCACCATATCATGATCATAAAGCCATGGCCTACCAAGAAATACGTGACATGCAACCATGGGTGCTACATCACACCACACTACATCTTTAAAATTAGTACCAATAGTAAAAGAGATTAAACAACCAACAAGAACTGGTACCTCACCTCCTTTCTTGAACCATTGGATATGATATGGGCATGGGTGCTTATGCTCTTTCAATTGACGTTTATCCACAATCTCTTTAGACACAATATTTTCACTGCTCCCACCATCGATTAGTACTGTGCATAACTTGCCTCCTGATGTGCAAGTTGTTCGAAAAATAGTGTTGCAACCACTTCTCTTCATCACAAGGTTTTGGGGTTGATAGCATGGTTCGCTG